ATCTATGCGTCTGTCCTCCGATTGATCAGAAGTAGGAACCACTAAAAATGGGAGAATAATTCAATTTATTTTATTTAAAAAAAAAACTGTTCTTCTGAAAATCCTCTTTTTGACGAAAATTCGCGTAACTTCAGAAAGATGTGCCATGCGCCGTGCCATGCATCACAACATGTACAGTTTTTGTGGTGTTTAATTTACAGAAAAGTTTTTCTTCCACCGGATCAAGTTTATTCTCCCCCAGCGTAATTTCTTTGATTTCAATTTTCTTGAGTTGAATTTATGAGCTCCAATCAACACAAATGAGAGGGTTCGAAATCCTTTTGTTCCCCAGGATTTTTCTGACTGCAATAATTCTTCTTCCTTCGCATGAAAGTGAATGACATAGAGACGGTATATCATCAACAGAAGAGAAATTATGTTCTTGCCGATATAAAACATGAATGTCGAGTCCATAAAGAAGTCGTATTTGATAACAAGGTAAAGTCGAAGAATTAAGAAAGGACCGTCTTGCATGAACATGGCGGCGATTATACCATATCGGTCTCCTTGGAGTTCAAGTTTTCTCATTTCCTTGTCAGCTTCTTCATCATTTAATCTCTTCAGTTCTTTCCTTTGTTTACCTCTTTTTCTAGCTTCAGCAGCTTTGCGTAGATATTTTCTTGTTAAACCAGCTTCAACGCTTCCAGACTGCAAAAATATTTTCACCCAATAAATACCAAGCAGCCATTGATTTTACTAGTTGTTTCCAACAAAAACACATTAAATAAATTTCAAAAATTGGAGAATTGGTTTTGACATTCAAAAAAACAAATTAATGAGAAGGAAATGGAATTCCGGGTTACATGAATTATTCCAGTTGGATCGTTTTTACTCGCTTTTTATGGGACAAAGAAGAAAGAGGTAGCATGACATTTTTGGTCTTTTTTGTGGCTGACTTATAAAATGTTTTTACATGTGCGAGCCTGTCAACATAACCGTCCATTCAGTCCTGCTTTTTTTTAATTTTTTTTAATTTTTTTATTTTTTTATTTTTACTGTTTTATGGTTGTTCACCTGGTCTGGGTCTCCTATTTCGGTTTCTTCTTGTTTGTCGTCTTTCTCTCCCATGGACGTAGTCACCAAGGTGAACTGGAAAAGACTCCATGAAAACACTCCTAGAGTAGCCACTGTTATGTCTTTATTCCGGGCTACCTGAAACGAGACACAACTCGAAAAATGATTTTTGCTACCGAGGTAAATTAGCAGTGGCGAATCCAGACCTCTTTACAAGGTGGGTCCCAAATGTTTTTGGCTTTTCGGGGCTTTCTTTGCTCGCACCAATAGGGGAAAACCCTCCCTGGACGCCTGCCGTAAGCCTGCCACTGCACGACAGAGCGGAACTCATGAACCGTCATCATGATGTTAGAATCTGTTTAAGAGATCTTTTTCGTGTAGGCTTGTGACTTAAAAGTTTCTTTAATGGCACTTCGCGAGATAGAACAAAAATATCGTTCCACACTACTTCGTCTGTGAGAGTGATTATATTTACTACAGAAGAAAGATATTATAGCAGGGATTTATATCTGGGAAGGCTTATAACTGGGGTAGTTTTCTTGGTTACATGAGTGTGGGGTGAGGGAACCGAAACTATATGATTTTTTTTTTTTTTTTTTTTTTTATTGTTATTATTATTTGAAATGATCTGCTGGCCAGAAATGCGTCAACAAGAAAGTAGCCTTGGGTGAGGGTGGGGGGGAGGGGGGGTAGGGGAGGGTGCAAAGTACTTANATCTACGAGCGCCAATTTTTCAAAATCAGACTAGTTTTCCACGCGCTTTATCTCTGAAACGAAGTCCGTGTCCCCCATTTTTTTTTTTTTTTTTTTGCATTAGACCGCTTAATATATGTCACAACAGTTTTTTGGGCCGTTTAAGCTGTTCTCCTAGATAAAAGTAATCCATAAATTGAAATTGTGATATTTTGGCAATAAAATTGACTTACCTCAATGGCTTGTTGCCTTTTCTATTGTCATTTCGCTTCTCAGCTCGATCCGAAGCCTTTAAAGCGAGTTATGCATTTTTGGTTTTCCACTCCTAAGGAGAATATTTCAGTTAAATTCCAAGCCAAATTCATCTCCATAGCGTACGCTACAAAGCTCTGAATCGAAGCCAGCTAGCCATCCGGACTTGGAAAAGATGCCGCCAGGACCTGCCATGGACACATTCGAAGCCCGAGTGGAATACCGGGCGAACAAATTGACTCTTACCAGGGGAAGGAAGCGGATAGTTCTCTACGCGCAATATACTTCGTTTCACTGTTTAAACACGGTCTGTCCGCACCCTCATACAGAAAACGTATTTCAAATAATGTTATAACTTCTTTGCTAGGGAAAAGCGGACAGTCATAGATTCAAATTTGATAAAAAATCGCCTTGAGAACTATCCGCTCCCCGCCCCTGTTAAGAGTCAATTTGTCCGCCCGGCATTCCTCTCGGGCTTCGAATGTGTCCGTGGCGAATCCTGGCAGCTTCTTTTCAGGAAGGCTAGCCGGCTTCGATTCAGAGTTTTATAGCGTACGCTGTGGAGATGAATTTGGCTTGGAATTTAATTAAAAAGGAGCGCTTAACCCTCTACTATTATTCTACAGAGGAATAGACCATTTTACAGTTATCTGCTCGGTGACCTGGCCTTTGAATGGCAGCGAGGCTGGAGTTGACCTTGTTTTGATACAGACCTCTCTGCTTTTGTCACGTAAATGAACCTAGTTAGCATTGGAACAACTTGATTAACACAACAAAAGCAGTGAGGTCTGTATCAAAACAAGGTCAACATCCAGCCTCACTGCCATTCAAAGGCCAGGTCACCGACCAGACAATTGTAAAATGGTCTATCGGGGCGGCTGACTTGCTTTTAATGGTTTTTCTTTTTTCGCTTCGAGCGGCGGGCAGTCCGGAATCGAGTGTGTGGTCTTTACTTCTTCTTAGGAGTGCAAAACCAAAAATCTATAACTCGCTTAAAAGACCTCGGATCGAGCTGAGAAGCGAAACGACAAAAGAAAAGACAACAATGCATTGAAGTAAGTCAATTTTACTGCCAAAATATCAACAATTTCAGCTGTAATGTCGATTACCGTTTTTCCCCGAACAAGCCTTTATAAATTCAAACCGTTGTGACTCAACTCCTCCATATGCTGCAAGGCGAGAGTAACGTTTCGCGTATTCAAACTCGGTCGTTATGTAATAGTATATGTCGGCCGTGTATGTCACGTTTCGCTGAACGTTCGCATAAAATTAAAACAAGAGGTGACAAAAACGATAATAACTCCTCGCATCGTGAGCTTGTGCCATCATTTACACTTACATTCGGATTCTCACCAAGGCACCCAGTGACATGAGCTCTACGCCACGATCGATTCCCATACTACCAAATTTCACCAGTAATAGTTCTCACTAAAGCTGCCCCCGTTTTCTTTTTCGTGTGCCGATTGAAGACAATTGACCATTTGTTAGGGCTTCCTCATATGAGCCCAGTGACCGGGCTGGCTCGGTTACCGGGACGAATTTTGTTGTCTGTTCATATGGGAAATTTCAGCCAGATCTACCGGGATAAAATCCAAGAAACACAACCAAAATGGTGGAACTTAAACTTGTATTATTCACGGCTGTCGCAGCTTTGTGGACTCTTGTAACTTTACTAATAAAGCTAATTCGCCTACTCCTAAAGTGGAAATACACACAAGGCAAAAATTATGCCATTTTGGCTGCTATGTTGCGAAAGCGAAGCTATTTCGTGTAAAAGGTTCGTCCCGGTTACCCGGGCTAGAGTGTTCATATGGGAAAATTTTCATCCCGGTTACCGAGATTTCGGTCGCAAAACCCGAGATCTCGGTAAACGGGCCAACCTGGCTTCTCATATGAACACATCGAAATTTTTACGAAGGAAAGAGAAGCGAGGCGAGATCTCGGAAACCGAGGCAGCCCGGTTGACCAGGCTCATATGAAGAGGCCCTTAGTCGTGCGACCGACTATAGCTTCTCCCCAAACTTCAATCACGTGCAATGGGCAACACCACAGACAAGTAATAAAGGTTCAACCTTCTTTCCACGATGTTGACGTCGATGCCGAAAGGAAAAGATACGTCGAATGTGTTAACAAATGGTGTCATCTTTTCTACGTTCAAACATACAGACCCACACACCGTTCGTGGTAGATCCACTCTAAAAGATGGCGAAGTCAATGAGCGTATATTTCGAAACGGGTCGTTCCGAGAACTCAAAATAGCAAAAGAATCGAATGATTTAGCGAAGGCCTTACTAGAATCAAACCAGAAATCAAATGAGTTATCAAGAGTGTTACTACAGACGACAGAAGAACATTACCAAAGTTTTAGGTGCTGATAAAGACAAGGTGCATCGTGATCAAACTCTAGGAAACAACAACAAATATGTCATGTTTGACTGCAAAAGTGGCTTTCATCAGAGTGAAGATAACTTAAACGTAGATTGTCATATTTATGTGAGGATATCATGATTATTACCCTTATTATGTTTTTGCTCAAACAGAGTACTTCATCAGCGTCATCGTCATTTTTCTATTTGTGCCTTTAGTTTTGTCGCTTTTGTGTGTATATTATATCCGCATGTTGTGTAGGAATGTTTGTGTGGTATCAAATAATGTGGGGCACCATTTATGACAAAATGATAATCGTACAAATGTCGAGAACAATGGAAATATTTGTACCAGGCCAATAATATAAGGCCCAAAATAAAAATATAGGTATTATAAAACCGATCTTAATGTGTACAGCAATATATATATGCGTACAGTTAATTACATAAATATTCGTTATGAACCCTAAAAACGTAAATATACGTTATGAACCCTAACGTAAATATACACGTTATTAACCATAACGTAAATATTTACGTTATACGCCAGACCATAAATATATACGTTGTGAACCGGCCATAACGTAAATATATGTTATGAACCATAACATAAATATACCTTATGAGTCATAAATTATTTTGGTCAGTCGATATCGTCACAAAGTACATGTGCATTGGCGGAGGCGGGGACACGAGACAGTTTTCTTAGAGAATTTAACCTTCGCTGTTAGAGTAAGCGGACAGACACCTCCATTGCTATGGTTGGCCATTCGTTTCAAAATTACGACAGGGTATACGCGGGTTTTTCTGCCGCGTATACTTTTTACATACGTTACGTATGGGCTTTAAGCTCATAGATAC